ACTTTCCTTGTTGGCCATTGTTTCCCTTGAGAGAAGCAGCTGTGCTTTGACTGCACCCAAAGCTTCGGAGGGAGGGTGGTGAGCTGAAAGCGACCCTGCATCTCTAGCCCTCAGCAGCTCTTGTGGGAGAGAGCTTGTTTATTTTGGGTCATATAGAAATATGGATTAATGGTTGAGGAGCTGGAGGGCATTACCCACACCAGATAGCTCTATCAACTACTTGTTTTAATTAACAGAATGAAAAAATATCTATGGAATATGCCATGTAGTTCAGAGAAGCACACAGAGGTTCTGACTCCTTACATGGCCCAGGTGGGGAGAGACTGTGGTGCATTTAGGGGAAAATGCTCATGTCTATGAAGCACTGTGACCCAGAGCACAAACTAGCTAATAAATACTGTAGACATCAGATACGATTTAGAGCAGCAGATTTAGTTTCAGGAAATAATGATATTGTTGTTCATGATGAATATTTGTGCACTTAATCTGCAACTACTAGAAAAAGAAAAAGGCTAAAATAAAAATAATATTTTTTGTTGCACAATCCCTGCACACACCTACAGTACATTCCACTCATCATGCAAATTTTTTAAACAGGTCTGTTTATTGTGTAGTTGCCATAACCTGTTTGCAGTTGTCTTTTACATGCCAAGTGACTCACCCATCAGGAGGGAGGTGTCTCTTTGGCTCTGGTTCATATTCATAGAAGAGAGGAGCCCATATAACTGAGGATCCAAAAACAGAAGCCACTTCGTCTTCCAATACCTGATAGAGTCAGTGTTCAGGTGAGTTCCTGCTCTTTGTTTTCCATTTAATTGTGTTGGGGTAAGAACCTGAATGATTACATCATTAATGAATAAATTATTTTAGTTTTTATTGATAAAAAAGACAAAAACAAAGAATGCATTGCTACATGGCAGCAAGTAGACCTTTACACAGTTTCAGGCTCACAAGACATGGTGTTGAAAACATATGTTAAATTAGATAAAATTTAGAAAAACACCCAACGAGAGAGTAAAAGCTCATTCATAGGATAACACCATCACAGACGATAACATCAGGGGACAAAAACAAGTGTACATTTACATTTCCTCTGTCTAGTTTGCCAGATTTAAGCGCTGAGCCCTGTCTATTATTTTTCTTTATAGTAAACCAAGTGGATCATGTCGTAAGTATTCAGCATTTAACATTCTGCTCCTTTTTTTCTGTCATTTCTTGCACCCCTGCTCCCTGCCTTTCCACACTGCTTTTGGTTCCTTCCCTTCATCTCTCCATCCAAAAGTTTAATTTCACCACTGTTTCAGATAATGATTACCATCTCACCTTACTAAATGTGAGGAACAAGGAAGGAGTCTATCTGATGTTTCTAGAGGTTGCAGGTCCTCTGATTTGAATCATAGTCTTTCATTCCTTTGATCCAACCAATTTTTTATTCTGCCCTGTAGAAACCTGTAAAATTGCTGAAATGCCACTTTCCTTATGACTTCAAATACTATTAAAACAATAATTGTTAAAAAAAATGTATGTTATTAATAATTACTTTCTTGATGTGCCTTTCCAGTTTTAAACCAAATCCAAATCCAAATCCAAATCCAAAATGTTCGGAGCTGGAAAAATGTTTGACCGGCATTGTTCATGTGTTCCACAAGTATGCTAAGAAAGATGGTGACGCTACGAAGCTGAACAAACAAGAGCTGAAGTGCCTGATACAGAACGAGCTCCCTAATTTCCTGAAGGTGAGTATCTGTTGCCTGTTTTATGAAGCCAAACATTTCATACAAATTGATGTTAAATATTATGTCCCATATGTAACCAAACATTTGGCCTGAGTTCAGTGCAAATGACTGTTGTAAATAAACACCCGTAAAGTATTGCAGTTATGTCTCAGCTGGATTTATTCAGTTTTTCTAGGCTGGTAAAAGCTTTCATCAAACATAGGTTTTTTTATGGCCAAAATAAACCTTTATGGTGCAAAAAAGACAGAGGCATTTAAATGAGTTTTTATAAAGCCGACGCTGGTGGTCACACATCTCAGACAGTGATTGCTTAGATCAGGTGAATGTCTCCTGTCAGGCATTAATGTTTCACAGTTGGCTGAGAGCAGCTGCAGCAACTGGCTCTGAGAACTGCAGCCGCCTAGGTCTTAGGTACTGTAGTTGTTGTTGCCAGGCTGGGGCTAAGACTCATTGAAGGGTGGCACATTTGAAAAACTGAATTAAACCCCTAGTTCTAGGACATTGCAAAGGACATCACTGCTGCACAATCCCTACCACCACCATACTATTATATCTACAGTACTGGACTGATTTATAGTTTTAACTTTACTTCTCATGTTTGGAGATAATTTTTAGTGTTGCCACGGTATTTTATTTCATTTTATTCTAGTAATATGATCATATTTCACCTTATTGACTATTATTTTATTGGTTGCTGTAACTAAATGTCCCCATGGGTATCATTATTTATCATATGATATTAAGTAATTAATGTTAATTAAATAATAGCTTTTAAAATGTGAGTTTTATTTAACTAATTAATATTTCATTAACTGTCTCGTACACATGACGACACTTGTAGCTGATTTTGCGAACCTAAAATCGTCAAATGTTTCAATGAATTCTGATTCTCTTAAGTCACATCAGTGTCTGGCATGGGGCCAGTGGTTTGGTTCTGATGAACAACGTGCAGAAATATAAGGGGCTGTAACAGTTTTGATAAAGCATATACAGGTATTGACTGAACACTAAACGTTAACACTGGGAACTGTCTGCTGGAGCCATGAGATTTGATCCAGTGAGACACATTTCTCTTTGTTGAATTTTCATCTTGATATTTTTGTTTTAGGACTGCAAGGACCAGAAAACTATTGATGAGCTTATGAAAGGTCTTGATGAAAACCAGGACCAACAACTGGACTTCGATGAGTATATTGTTGCGACCGCTGCACTGGCTGTAAAAATATACCTTGATACATCTGCTGGCAAATCACAGCCTTGCAAGAAATAAATAAATAGAACATGAAATAAACACATTAAATAAACCCCTTTTTCACACGTTACATACTAACAATGTTTCTCAGGTTAATGATGTGAATGTTTGAATCTTTCCTTAACACAGCATCTTGCAATGTTATAAAAGACACATCACTGTGAACTGGTGTTTCATTTTTGTCCCTTTATTTTCTGGGTTCCCAAGCTTTTTCATCTCGAGACCCAAAAGAAAAAGCAATTTGGTCTCTATCAGGGACCCAAACTTACAAAAATACATTATGGATTGCTACATTGTCTGCATTTGTCAATGACCAATAATGAACACAACCAACCCTGTATTTAAAATGCAGCCTGTATGAAATATATTATATTATAAAAACATATCACAGAGAGTGATGTTAAATGTCTCACCACGTCATAATGAACTTGTATGAAACATTGGGACTGTCTGAACACTCCATCAAATAAAGCTTTCAAATATGCAACTGCATGTGTGGTGTATTATGCAACATACTGGCCAGTCATTTTATTTCATGTGATGCAACAATAAATAACATTTTAAAAGTAGGCCAATGTGATCATATGTATAGATGCATAATATTCCTTAGAATGTAGAATGTGTACTGGCTCCTGATCCCTCCTCTCTCGATCTTTTTGGTATGTTTACATGGTACGTGACTCCTGGTCTGATCTTTAAGGGTGATTGTCTGCACATTAACAGAGTTCATTACCTCTGTCAAAGAGGTTATGTATTAGGTTCTGTGTGTGTGTGTGTGTGTGTGTGTGGGTTTGTCTTTATATACTTGTGCGAACCAACCCCTGACAGAACACCTTTCTTGTATGGACATTTCTTCTTGTGTGGACCTTTTGAGTGGTCCACACAAGGAAAATGCTAGGATAGGCTCCTTTCATCCTAAAGAATGATCTGTCTAAGTTTCAGAAGATGTCCACATACAGAGAGTAAAGTCAGAAAAATGTGCCAGCTTGTACTCTTGTGGCCCCCTATTACCCCTATCTGGTGGTGTAGTTAAAATTTGATTTACAGGGAGGAGACACAATCCAATTTTTTGATTGGTTAAGGCTGGGAAATTTTGTGATTGGCCATTATCTACATTTATTTTATTATATGCATGCAAAAATGCAATAAAATAAAGTATCATGCTCTGATTAAATACTGCTTAAGCTGAATTCATGCAATACTGCCTGTGTCTCTAAAAGGGCACAGACAGGGCAGCTTAGAAGTGGGTGGCAATTAAAACAATATCTAACATCTGGTGCTTGAGTCTCACCTTCAACTAATGTTGCATTAAATGCATGCCTCAACACTTCGGACACTGCAGTAGCACCACAATTGGTGTGCTGAGAGATACGACAAGAAGAGAATCGTAAAAGCTGAATTAGACGATGAAAAAAACTTCTGCAAATTGTCCAGGTAAGATTTATAAAACTAGTTGTTGGGGTGAGGTGTTGCAGAAGGGTGAGGGCGAGATAGTAATCTTTAGACAGCCATTAAAACATGCAAATGCAGAAGATTATTTGCCATGCAACATTTGCTATGGGTTCTTCATAAAAGATGAACTATGGAAACATGAGAAACGGTGTCGCAGAACAATGTTCGAGTCAGAAGTTTAATCCCAGAAAAAAAGAAAAGTTCAAGCTGCTGCCTCAGCTCTCCTTCCATACAAAGGACAGCCATCAGAAAGATGCTCAAACATTGTTAAGAGAATGGTAATTGACAAGGTGTCCCTTGAATTAAGACATGACCCTCTCATATGTGTATTTGGAGATAGACTGCTGGAGAAACACGGGAATGATCGATCAAAAGATGGTCATGTCAGTCAAAAGATGAGAGTTGGGTAGATTTTTACTTGCTGCCAAGTCCCTTGACCGCGAAGTTGAGATGCTGCAAGATGTTTTGGTGCCACCTAAATTTTCTTTAGCTGTGCAAGCAGCAAAACAA